CCAGAGACAGGGGCTCCTCATCCGGGGAGCGTGGAATGGGGACAAGCTTCTGGTGCATTGAAAGCCTTGAAGGTTTTTAGTGGCAGAAGAGGCATCAGGAGACCTCAGAGAGCCCCCGACGTCCCAGAAACGCAGAGCTGGGGGGACTCTGAGGAAGCACAGAGAGCGCTGGTTCAAAAGGAAAGTGCTCCTAAAGCCATGGAACTGCTGTTCAAGCGACACCTGGACAGGTCCGTGGTGCCCTCGGGGCCCTGACAACTGCACTGGGCCAGAGGGCCCTTGGGGCCTGCAGGGCACCCACGTGACGGCGGGGAGCGGTGACCCGGGGAGCCCAGGGTCCGTCTGAGCAGCAGCTTCAGGCCGCTCCAGTTTGGCCCAAGCTCCTGAGTTTCCAAGAGAAGCGAGACATTGGAATTGCTCTCTAAAAAATATTTGACTATTGGCTCATTTTAAAATAAAACACCACACGTGCCAAACAAAAACCACCCTGTGAGTTGACACCAGTGACTGGCAGCTTCTTCTCTAGCCCAACACACCCATTTCACAGGGGGGAAACTGAGTCTCGAAAAGGGGAAGCACTTGCCCGGTGTGACCCAGTGTTTTTGGAGGAGGGCTGGGACTCCACGGCCCCCCAGCTCTCGCCCACCCCCAACTGTTGATGGGAGTGTGGGAAGGGGGAGGGAGTGGGGGGAAGGGGGAGGTGGGAATCTCGACTTCACAGGCCGAGACCCTGCTTGTTCTGTCCACCCAGGGAAGAGCGTGGACAAAGGGACCGGAATGAACATTTATTAGCAACATACAATAATGTTATAACACACACAGTAATAATTATATAACAGTGGGAAAATAACTGACATTTTCTGAGTGTTTCCTATGTGCTGGGCATCAAGACGGGGCGGCAACAGGGGGTAAGATGGTAGTTAGGAGTGTAGAATCTGGATTTAAATCCCGTCTCTCCCACTGCCCAGCGGGGTGACTTTGCGCAAATTACTTCACCTCTCTGTGCCTCAGCCTGTTCATCTCACAGGGCTGTTGGGAGAATTGAATGTGTTTAAGTACATAAAAGGCCTTTATAATGACAGCTGGCTCTCAAAGGGACACGCTCCAAAGTCCAAAGAGCCTGTCTAAGCGGGGCCCCCACATTTTGCCTGGTGGCAGGGTAGGTACATTACCCCCATCCCCTCCTGCCCAACAACCCCAGGCGCTGGGTCGGATTTGCACACTGAGCCGCAGATGAGAAAACTGATGCGTAGGGAAGGTGGCCAATAGACCCAGACACAAGGACCCTAAAAGGAGCAGCGGGATTTTAACGCAGACCCAAGCCTCTTAGCAGGCAACCACTGAGCCCGCCTTCTGGCCACAGCAGCCCGGGTGAAACGGCTGGTTGCCTTGAGAATCCACTTGGCAAAAGCCAGATACCCAGATACCCCATCTTGCTGCCTGCCATCTGAGCACAGGACAACACGCGGCTCCGCCCCAGGCCCCAGCCACTCCCCAGGGCCCACGGCACTACCCTCCAAGGTCCTCCCCCGCAGTTCCCGGGGCTTGGCTCAGCTCTAGAGATACTCTGAATGAATCATTCCCAGGAATCCTCCCTCCTCAGGCCATAGCCCCGAGTGAAGGATACCTGAGAAGGGGTGTAACAAGGGGTGGCACCCCAGAACTTTCTCTGGCGAGGCCTCAAACTGGGCCAATGTGTTTACAAAGAGCAAGGGGCCTCGCAGGCAGCAGAACAGGTGGAGAGTGGGGAGACCAGGAGCTGTGGCTACCCAGACAAGCTTCCACAATGCCACATGGCCAATCCCAGCCAGCAGGCCACATCGGGGCTTTCAAATCGCCAATCCTGGCCACGTGTAAACTGCCCCTCTTTCTGCAAATGGACCCACAAAGTAACACTGGTAACAGCCTATGACAGCCTCCCTGCTTGTCTGCCTGCATCCGTTCTGGCTCAGCCCATGCCCATTCCCCAGCGGGGCACACTGAGGCCCAGGGAGAGGCGGTCCCTTGCCGGGTCCCTCAACCCAGTTTCCAATTCCTCAGGCTCCCAGTGCTTCCTGCACAGGGACTTGGGATTTAAAAAGGCAAGGGAGGAAAAGTAGACACAAATAAATAAAAGCAGGAGAGGCTAGACAGAGCGGCCAGAAGACCTGGTCTCAAGTGTCTCACTGAAGCCACTCGATGGCCACCAGGAAAGTTAAACTTCAGATGAGCACAGGGGGGCCAGCGTGGGGCAGGACCAGACTCCCTTTGGAAGCCAAGGGACAGGCCTTCCCTGTGGGTCGCAGCCTAGGAAACCCAAGGGTGTCCCTGGCCTCTAGGATCAGGAGCTCTCAAGGGGACCTCCATCGGCCTGGGGAGTGAAGGTCCAGGCAGTTTACACTTTCCTCTGCCCCGCTTGCAGGTTCCTAACAGGAACCACCAGGTCCTGTGCAGGTCCTAGGGTGGGCGCTGGGAGGCCCTGGGTTCCTCACTGCCTCCTCCTGTCCCGCCCAGGGCCTGGGTGAATACCCTCGGCAAGCATTTGTCACTGTTACAGGAAGGACAAACTGCACATACACCTCAGGCTACGCGAAGCTGGACAGGCTTGACCTGTTTCCCTGACTGATGGTCGCAGAGATGTTGCTGGTGACCTGCAGGGCACTGCCTGTTTGGCTAATGAGGCCCTTGAATTCATGCGTATGAGAAGATCATTTATAACTTAGTGTACCAGAGCCAGGGATTTTAAAGATTATAACTACTTCAGAGAAGATTCATATTTATGTAAGATTATCAGAACCCTCCTATGCTGCTTTGGAAAACAAAGAGTTACCATGTGACCCAGCAATTCCACTCCTAGGGCTCTACCCTGGAGGACTGAAAACGTATGTCCTTACACATGAATGTTCATAGCAGCATGATTCACAATAGCAAACGAGTAGAAGTAACCCAAATGTCCATCAACTAATAAAGGATAAAAACAACTGTGGTCTACCCACACAATGTAATATTATTCACCTATAAAAAGTAACAAAGTGCTGACTGGTGTGGCTCAGTTGTTTGGGTATCCTCCCTCCCACAAAGCAAAAGGTTGCCAGTTCCATTCCTGGTCAGGGCACATGCCTGGGTTGCAGTTTCGGTAGCCGTTTGGGGCATGTACAAAGAGGCAATGGATCAATGTTTCTCTCTCACATGGATACTTCTCTCCCTCTCTTTCTCTCTTCCTTCCCCTCTCCCTAAATATAAATAAAAATCTATCAAAAAATTAATGAAATACTAAAAAAAGGGAACTACTGATACTATCACATGGATGAACCGGTCACAAAAGGCCACACAATGCATGGTTCCATCTACAGGAAATGCCCAGCACGGGCACATACATGAGACAGGAAGTAGATTTGTGGTTGCCGGGGTATGGGGAAGGAGGGAATGAGAAGTGACTGCTGACGGTTCCAGGCTTTCTTTTTCGGGGATGAAACTGTTCTAGAATGAGATGAAATGTTCTAGAATTAGATGGTTGCACAACTCTGAATATCCTAAGAACTACTGAACTGAATACTTTAAAATGGTGAATTGTGTGGGATATGAATTCTATCTCAATAAAGCTGCCATAAAACCAATCACACGAGGTTTTCAAAAATACGGTGATAGAAACCTACCTGTTAAGTACAATATGGGGTGTGATGGGGTAAAATGGTTAACAACTGAACCCAGTATTGCACTTATGGAAACTGAGGCTGGGGGAGAAAGAATGACTCACCCAGGCCACATCACGACTCAACCAGAGCGAGCCATACCTAAATCTGCCCGAATCCAGACGCTTGGCCTAACCACCGGGAGACCTGGCTGGAATGAAAGGATATGCGGCGGGGTATGCAAGAGCTGTCCACCACCCAGTGTGGGAGACAGACCTGCGAGGAAATTGGTAAGTAAGGTCAAGGCCCAGCTACCTCTTTGGGGTTCAAAACAGGAAACACCCAACAATGCCTGGGGAATACCAAGGAAGGCTTCCAGGACAGGGTGCCAAGAAAGGAGGCTTCCGAAGGATGAGGAGATTTGTCCAGCCCCGTCTCCAATATCCTTACAGGACCAAAACCCAGGAGGTCTTACGGTGAGTTTAAGCTCTGCCACATCCCAGCTGTAGGACCTAGGGCCACGGACAGGTGACCTATCCGAGCCTGAGTTTCCCCATCTGTAAGAGCCGAAGGGGCAGGGTGATGGGCACAGTGCTTTCTAAGGCCTGCTGAATCAAGGGGGTTCTCACTCTTCCTCCCAAGGGCAAGGACCTTTGCGTGCTTTCCCACAAGGTAATAAAGACTGCCAGGTCAGGCGTGCCCAGCCTCGGTGACCCTCCTAGTCCAGGCTTTATGAGGCACCTTCTGTCCACCTCATCCTGATAGGCGGAGGCTGCCAGGAGTCGGAATCCTTTGGCCAAAATTCGCCCCACTCCTCCCGTGTGACCCCCAGGTTCATGAGGGTCTCCCTTACCCCATGTTCTCGACGCGCCCGTCTCCCGCAAGCAATAGCCACCTCCCAATGCCCCCACTTTTGATACGCCTCGCCTCGTAACTCCACGACCACTGCAAGTTAACTTACACGCGCCCCCCGTCCGTCCTGGAGCCCGCCTGGGGGTCCCCGCAGCCGGGGAAAGGTCCCAAGACTCGGATGGCGGTGACACGCCGCGCTCCCCCAACTCCCCGCCCTCCGCCACACACACACAGATACACACATATACACACTGAGCGCCTCCCGGGTGCAGAGTACAAAGCGGGACGCACGGGAATTGGACTGGGTCTCTGCCGCACCACGAGGAAAGCGCTAGGAGCGCCGGCGGGTGGGGATCTTCGAACCCAGCGCCCGCGTTGCCTCCTTGCCTGCACCCAGCCCCGGAGCCCCGGCAGCCGTGCCGGGCCCGAGAGACACCGTGAGGGCCGAGGGCTCCCCAGGGCCCGAGGCCGACACGCGGACGGCCCCCTGCCGGTGGCTGCTGCCGGGGCTCCCCGCGCTGCCCCAGGGCCACCTACCGTGCGGAGGCGCAGTTAAGCGGCCCGTGCGACCAGCGAGCGACTCCCGGCTCGCCAGCCGCCTGGGCCGGGGTAGGCAGGGGAGGCACCCGCGCGGGGGGCGGGGCCACGGCGCCGTGACGTCGCGCCGGGGCGGGCCCGGAGAAGCCACGCCCACGACTTCTCCCCCAGCCCCCGCCGGCCCGCCTCCAGGCTACGCGGTGGGGAGGTGCCCGGGGAGGTGCCCCCGGAGGTGACCCCGACCCGGAAGCCTTGGTCTGATTGCTGGCTTACTCTCAATACCAGCGCTCACCGTTTTTTTCCTCCTGAGGCAGCTCTGTAAGAGACGTTCCCCTCTGTCTATAAGCAAGGAGTAGAATGATCTCCAAGAAGTGGTAAGACAAGAAAACTAGACTAGAACCTGAGCAGGGTGCATTTACGCTACCGTTAGTACAAAATAAAGAAAAAAGAGGGAGGGAATATTCATCCGTATTTAAATATATGAGAGGTTCTCAAGGAGGAATGATTTTCCCCTGCCCCCTTTACTTACAGGGACACTTGGCAATGTCTGAAGACATTTTTGGTTGTCTTAATTGGGGGGTGGAGGAGCTTGTCATCTAATGGGTAGAGGCCTGGGATGCTGCTACATGTCCCGCGATGAACAGGACAACCCTCTTCCCCCATCCAACCTAAAATGTGGATTGTTCTGAGTTTGAGAAACCCCAATATACTTGAATAAAATAAAACTTCGGGCCGGTAGATCTCAGCTCAGCCTAACATATTTAATGTCTCTTCGCCTCTGTTTCTCCTTCTATAAAATGGGCATATAATAGATCTGTGTATGCGTAAATGCGTATGCACCGAATACCTGAAGGAAGGAGGGGCTTACTTTTCACTGCAAACCTTTGTTGTTTGTTCTGTTTGAATTTTTCATTTTTACTGTACGTCTATATTACCTATTTAAAATAAATATTAGTAATAGTTACAACCATAGCAACAAACATTTTATATCTATATAAAAATCACCTGCTAGGCTCCAGCATTGCTTTAAATATACGTTTAAAACTTTGATAGCCTTGTGTTAGGTCTATTATCAATCTCATCTTACAGCTAAGGAAATCAAGGCATATAGATATTAAGTCATGAGTTCCTCCATAGCTCGTACATTGATTGACTCATTCATATGTCCAATAAACAGAGCCCGCCGTGCAGAAAGTGCTGGAACTGACAAAACGGAATCCCCTGCCTTCATGGAGCTGGCCATGAATGGTCTGGAATCAATAGACCAATATCATCTAGTGTCGATTGTGCACATATTAGAGGTTTTGTATGACTAGCTGCATTGTAGCCCTGCTGGGTGGTTTATAATGTTCCTTTGTGGGTGGAGAAATAGAGATCGAGGGAGGGAAGAGGCCTGAGTAAGGCATTTCCTGGGCACCCTGTGCAGGGGGCACTGGGAGTCAGCAGGTACCAGGAGGACTAGGGCCCTGTGTCCAAGTGGGGGAAGCTGGACCCTCCAACAAGCACTGGGGAGTTGGGAACCAAGTGGGTTAACCTGGTCCAGGAAGGGAGGGGGTGGGGTTTATACTGTGCCTTACACTGAGGCCTGAAACATGGATGAGGGTTTACAGAACAGTAAGCCAGTGACAGGCACCCAGAGGTGCAAAGTTTCAGCAGGAAGGCCCTTTGTTGTGGGGGCTTGCATAAATTAAAGAGTAGTCAGGATGTGGGGGGAGGGATGAGAGGATGTCAGAGCGGTCTGCAGGGGTTGGATGCTGCAGGGTTTCCTGGGCTCCGGGGAGGAGTCAGCGCTTCATCTTGCAGCGAGGGACAGGTGGAAGGTGTTCAACAGGGAAAAGACGTGGTTATCTTTGCTTCCTACAAAGATGCTTTTGGCTGCTGCATGGTGGAGGACAGGCAGGGAGACTGCTTCCGAGGCTGTTGAAATACTCCAGGGGAGGCTGGCTGACCCAGGGAAGGAGCATCCATTTCCAGAGCTGTTTGGAAGACAGAATTGGCAGATCTTTTGCAGGGCTAAGGAAGGGGACCAGAATGATCTCCTGGTTTTTAGGCTGGGCCTTATCCTTTCAGCCCCCCAGCTCAGCAAACCCATTCCGGCCTCAGGCTGGCTGCCTTGAGGACGCCTAACAGCGCCCCCAGAACATCCTGATGGGACAGACACTGGAATCTGATGTGACTTTGAAGGCAGATGAAAGAGCTCATTCCTGTCTGCTCCCCCACTCTGTAAACAGCTGGGCAGGGCCTCTACTCTCTTTTCCCCCAAGCTGTATCCCCAGCATCCAGAGAAACCTGGCACCTGGGAGGTGGTAAGTCACTATTTGTTCAAAGCAGGAAGAATGGCACTGGCCAGCATGGCTCAGTTGGTTGAGCATGTTGTCCTGGAACGGGAAGGGCTGCTGATTCCATTCCCAGTCAGGGCGCATGCCTGGGTGGGTTGCAGGCTGGTCCCCCGTTGGGGTGCATGCAAGAGACAACCAATTGATGTTTCTCTCCCTCTCTGTCCCTCTCCCTCCCCCTCTCTTTAAAGATAAATAAATAAAATCTTAAAAAGAAAATGATCACATGAAAAAAAATTCCTAAGCAGGAAGAATAAATGTGGTGTAAGACACACGTTGATTCTAAAACTCCTTCCAGCTCTGACATCTGAGAAGATGATACTAATGATGGGCTTGCTGTGCTCTAAGCACCTTGTAAGGATTATATTCAAGCTGACCATTTACCCCTCCCTACAACCTGCTATGGTTTTATTGTCACCACTCCCATTTTACAGATGAGGGGACAGAGTTTCCATTAGGCAACGTGACTTGACCGAGAGCAACAGCTGGTAAATGTCAGGGCGGGAATACAAACTTAGTACAATGATGGAAGCAGGTGTCACAGCCCGGGCAGGAAGCCAAGGCAGAGAGAGGGTCAGGGGCCCCCCTCCTGCTGGAAGGATGGAGGGTTACCATGCCTAGCTGAGTACCCAGGTTTCACAAAGCACTCTGATTGGGGGTGTCTGATCCAGGTGACTGGCTGTCACGGCAACACAGCTCTAAAGAGATGGTTCACCTGTCTAGAACCTCCTCAGGGCACCCTGGCACAGTGCCTCTTTCCCAAAACTCAGCTGCTGTGGGTCCATCAGCATCTGGTGCTGACACAAAAGGGATAGTGCCTCTGAGTTGTCCTCCCCCTCACACAGCCTGCCCCTTGAACACACACTGCTGGCTTTGTGTCCATATCTTAATGCCCAGAAGATTGTGGGTTGCCTCCTGTTACCGTGGACAGTAGATGGTATCCCATAAGCAAGGTGTTTGTCTTCCCAAAGGCCTGCGACTCAGAGACTCAAGAGCTGGGATGCAGCAATGAAACACAGGGGACACCCCAGCTCGTCCAGCATTGCATTCCGAAGCCTGTGTTTAGGGCAAATAATGCAGAGTCAAAACCAGTGCTGAGGGAGCCCCGGAGAAAGCTGTGAACAGCGTGGCTCCTTGGTCAAGTTCAGCTCCACTGGTCACCTCCAACATGGTGCCCAACTCAAAGTTTCAGTTTTGAGGCAAAAAAAAAAAAGTGACACCTTTTAAGCTCTGAAATTCTGCCTCAGGTGGTGAGAGACTCACATTTCAAGAGGCGTGTTGAAACTGGGACCCACAAAGGGAACGATGGGTCCTGTAGAACTGTAATGTCTCACTCCCTCCTGGCCTTTCTACGCATCATTTTCCTCTATGTGGTTCTTTTTATCTTTGTTTATTTTTTCTTGTACTTTTAGTAACTTCTCTGTTTTTTATTGCATGCTTTGTTTATTCATAAATTTGTTAACAGAAGTTAAATAAATGTAATCACTTTGTTATTTTCTTCCAGTTGTTGTTTGCCCAGTGTACGTGTTGTGCGTCAGCAATGCGGATATGCACATTTTCCCATCTAACACCCTTGAGAAAAGAATGCTATTGACAACTTTGAGGTGAAAGTCATCCAGCTCCAGACTATGAATGAATGTAAAGAGGTTTTAGGACTAACTTAACTGATACATTTCTATTATGTTTTCCTTTTATCGGACTCACAAGATGAATACACCAAAAACAAAATGGTTGTCTAAAGAAGTCCAAAATAGTTTTTCAACATGTATGGAATACAAATTGTAAATGATCAGAGCGCAGTCGTGTTTCATCGGCATGGATAGTATTTCTCTTTGTCTTTCTTGAGGCATAAAATCAGGCGGCGTCTTGCCACCAGTGAGGTCTTAGTGCCGAGGAAACATAGACACCGGGTTCGAGTGGCTCAGGCTGTAAGGCTGGGCTCCTCGACAACAGAGTTTCAGAGCTGCAGCCACAGACCTTAGGGACTGAGGATGGGAATCTACGTAGCTTGACTCTGAAATCCAAGAACTGTGGACACTTGGAGATACATTACAGAATCTGGAAGGACTGTGGAATATCGGAACCGCAGAATCAGAATCCCACCATCAGAATCTCGGGGCTGGGTGGCCATTTGAGCTGTCATCTTATAGACAAGAAGAATACAGCCCAGGAAATAGAAGTGATTTGCCCAGCACTGCGGCTCCTAACAGTAGATCAGGGCTAATACGGGTATCTCTTGCTTCCTGCCCAGGAATCCCATCTTCTAGGCCAAGACAGGACAACCTTCCTTCTAACACGAGCTGCAGGGCAAATTGGAGGGTGGAGGCGGGGCAGCTAGGGTGGGAGGGAGAGGGAGAATGCGTGGGCCGGATGGAAAGACCTTCTAGGTCAGGCAGTAGTACCACTACTTCGAAGCTCAGCAAAACCACAGAGCGGTGTCAGGAGGCCCCATCTTGTTTTCCAGCTTCATCTCCTGCCTCACTCAGCATCCCCTTCCCACCTGCTTCCTCTCACTCCACAACCACCCAGCCACAGCTTCCACCTCGGTAAGCTTCGCTTGGGCCGGCCACAAGTGCTCCCAGCCTCCGTGCCTTTACCCGCAGTGCTCCTGGGGGCCCGAGGTCAGTCGTTCAAGTTGAGCACAGCACAGGGGGCCACGTCCACACTGCAGGCATTACAGGTCTATCTATACCAGTCATGTCTGGCAGACAGCAGTCGAATGTCTTCGGGAAAAGACATCTTTTATAGCATCAGTGGGTACCCTGCTCTTTGCTCTGCCTGGAATATCCTCCACCTCCCCCTTCTCCACTAAGCAAGCTCCTGCTCCATCCTTCAAGGCCTCCTTCACCTATCCCCCCTCCCCCACAAAGATAACCATGGAAACACCTCCCCCAGGCTTCCCGCATGGATTAAAGGTTAATAACATCAATCAATGCTAACTGGTAACACGGGAGTCAATATTGCCCGGTGTACATTTCTAAAAAGTAGGGCATGTACCATTTGCAGTGGGAGACATGATTCTCAGTGGAATTTGGACCCAGGACCAAATAACACTGAATCAGATACAAGAAAACAATGCTCTTTTCAATCACCTTTGATAAAATCAGGGAGAAAAATCTCAGTTTGGTGCAAATCCGTCTCTCATCCCTCTGACACTGTTCATCACCCATTTTGTCAAAGAGCGAGCAGGTTGCAGGCTGAGCCTCCCTCAGGCAGTGGCGTCTGTTGAGAATTCTCTACCTGGCCTTCTTTAAATTGTATTTATTTATAAGATTGCTTTGTATCTGTGGCATATGATGCCGATGTTCCACTTCCCGTAGCGTTATAAAGCCTTATTTACAAATCAAGGCATATAAGCGGAAGATAGTAAGTCTATTTAAATAAAAATGTTAAGTAAATAACAAAACAGGTGTTAAGGTGAGAGGGTGAAAAAACATGAGAATGGTGCGTGAGGACGTAGAGTTTGAAAACACAGATCTGTCGGGGAGTGCAGCCCCGGAGCCGGACTGTCTGGGCTCAGTTCTCCACACAGCGCTGGCTGTGTGACCGTGGGCATGTCACTCCCCCTCTCCGAGCCTCGATTTCCTACTTGTTAAATAGGGATAATTATAATACCAGCCTCCTAGAGTAGTTCAAAAGATATACCAAGAGCATGTGTGTAGAGAACTTTGCAGGGCTTGCCATTTATTATTATTATTATTATTGTTATTGTTATCGTTGTTATTATTATTGTTGTTGTTGTTGTCATTATTATTATTTGAGACTGGCGAAGTCACATGCTGGCAACGGTGAGGGAACTCCAGGCACACATCTGGTCACAGACTCAGGAGACATTCTGGCTTTAGGAACTTTTATTTGCATGAGAAATAGGGGGAAACTGAACCTGAGGAAGGGGTGAGAGGAGGGACAAGCAGTGGGGTGTGGACTCATTTGGGGGGCTCCGCAGCCAGCACCGGGAAGCAGCCCTCGCGATGCCACTGCCTGTCCCGCAGGCGGCGCACCGCCTGCATCTGGGGCTGGAAGGCCCCCCACTCGTTCCAGTGCCGGAAGTCACCAGGCTCCAGGAGGTACTGGTACCCGCGGTAGCCAGGATACTGATAGCCTACCCAGCTGCGGGGGCGGGGGAAGCAAGAAGGACTGTGTAGAGATGGCCAGCCTCACTGTCTGCCATCCAGACTCCTGCCTGGACCAGCCAGTCCTCCATGTCTCCCTGCAGTCTCTGCTAGAAAGCGGGGATGGCCACCTTGCAAGGTCTGGTTCCAGTTTGAGCCCCCTCAGATAAGCCTCTGATCTGTCCTCCACTCCAGCACACCTCCCCAGAAACCGTCCTTCCTCCTCTGGCCTCCTGTGTGGACCATCTCACAGATACACGTGGGTCTCCCTGCTAGGCTGAGTAAGGCCCCCAAAGACAGGAACTGAGCTTTATTCATCTCTTCCTCCCCGGTATGCCTAGCACAGTGCCTAGCTCCTACCAGGCACTGCTTAGTACATTTCTGATGACTTCAATGCAGGGATGTGAGTTTCAGGGAAGAAGAAATTAATAAGAAAAAGGCCGGGGCCCTGACAGTTTTACAGCAGCTCAGCAAGAGTCTGCAGTAGAGGGGTAGAAGCCTTACATTTACCTAGAGGAGACCAGGGGTGTCTGGCCTGATTGCTTGGGGACAGCGGTGGATAAAATGACCTCCTCTGGGCATCTAACCCTCCCCCATTTTCCCACAGACATGGGATCACAGGGCTCTGTTTAGAACGTTTCAAATACTGAAAGTTCAGAGCTGAAAGAGCCCCTTCACATCAAAGAGTTTCATGTACCCGTTGTATAAATAGCAACACTGAGGTACAGAGAGGGGCACGGGGCTCCCCCAGGTTTCACAACAGATCAGGGACAGAGTCGAGTCTCTCTGATTACACAGTCTCCTCTCTCAGAAGTCATTCTGCTCATTGCCCCAGGGGCTCTGGATCTCTCT